CTTTTGATTTTAATTTTAATACGTAAATGTTGAAAATATTCTACAGCTCAATTTTCTAAAAAATATCATTTGTTTGCGAATTTTTTTAACCTTTTAAACCATTTTACAAATCTTTTATCGAACAAACATCGTAATAGTACAGTATTTTGCATGTATAATGTATTGAATTTGTTTTAAAAACTTTCAAAATATTACATTCTGGACTTCAAGCATTTTTTCATACTTTTTTTCTCCCATCTTGATTTGAATTTCATACTTTTGGATTAAAACTTAAATGAAAAATTTTTAAATTTATTGGGTAGATTTTGAATTAATTCTAATTTTAAAATTCTAGCATAATCTTCCTCTATTGATATTCACGTATTTTATATTCTGCAATCACCAGAAGGTAAAGTGGATACAATATTGAAGCTTATGTGTATTCATCAAAATAGTTTATGTGCTTCAATAATTTACAGAGCTTCACCTAAAAAGCTTATTGAGATTTTGTATTGATATTTTGTATTTTGAAAATTTACGAGTTTATGTCTCTCATCACCATAACTTAGAAATTAGATAACAGTGGAGCCAAATCCTCTTTGTGTCAAGTTTCTTGCACTTGTTACGATAAAAACCAAAAAACAGTGACACATTCAAGCCAAGCCACCAACACAAGAGACAGAATCAACGTGGTTCACTCTTGGGAGGAACTACGTCCACGGGCAAGTGCATTGTGAGATTATAGTGAATGTTCTATCTGGTAATACATAGACTCTGGGTATATACCCAACATAAGCAACTAACATAGCTAGAACCTGTGATTACTCCTTAATTGAAGTTAAGCTCAACAATCTACTCCTTAATTTGTGTTAAAAAGTAAGTAAAAAAGTAACCTCTATTATAATTTTGCCGGGAGTTCTTGACAATAATCTAACACAAGACGTCTCTTTACGCGAGAGTTAACTAAAATTAAGCTGTAGCCATAACACGGTAGAGTAATAACATAAAGAGATAACTAGAAACCTACTACCATAGAGGGAACATAAACCTTGTACCATATATAATTACTCCGCAGGAATTTTTAGGGAGAAATCTAATACAAGTATTATTAAACGACATTTCTCCAGAACTAAGCTGTAGCCATCACATGTAGAGTAATTATATAAAAAGATAACTGAAGATACTATGCTAGCAAATTCTACCTGTGCTTGCCTGCACAATCTACATACTAGCACAGTGTCGGCTGAAACTCTCCATAGTAATAACTTTGGTCAACGTATCAATTGGATTCAGTTTTCTGTGAATCTTGACTATTTCAATCACCAGAGTTTATTGTCAATCTTGACTACCTCAATCATTTGCTCAAAACTTCACCCGGATAAATGTTACTTCTTGATCATTAATCACACAAATGATTAAACTCCCCCATAACAATATCCGTGAGTGAAGAAATTTTTCTTGTTATGACAAAAAGTCTGAGAACTCTTCCTCTCTTTTAATGATCTAGGTCTCATTGAAAGATAACATACATACTAACAAGAATCTTATAGACTACTATATCCAATAGCTTGTAATCCTACATTGGCCAAAGCATGTAATCTCGTACTTCTAGATTGAGATTCTACAATTTGTCTCGTGGCCATCCTCATTTGTAATAAACTTCAGAGTGTAGAAGCTTTTGTTTCAATGTACTCCTTTTGGATCATCTTTCAACTCTTGAAAATGGTCTAGATGCTTCAATTGCGTCAAGATTTTTCCAACGATACCCAATTTGTCTATATTCCAACAAAGATTCTTGTGGAAGAAATATTTACAAACAGAATATTTTCTTAGAATAATGAATCTTTTTGCCGCACAAAATCTTTTGGACAAAATCTTCTTGACAACTTGACGAACATGACTAGTCTACTTGCCACCTATCATCCGCACTTGGAATTGTGACTATACGTGATTGTGATCCGCGACTGATTGTCATCGTCGCCCGTAGTGCCGTCGTAAATGCACTTGGCTTGTAAATTTACATTGCCTCGGGCCAAGGACCGCGACCCTAGTTACTAGTCTCACCATGCTGCAAGGAAGCCTCTGCTCCGATCATTGCGCAGGCCTCTTCTAGGGGGTTGATCCAATACCGAACGGCGCTATGCCACACGCCTCTCTTCCTCTTGCCCGTCGATACTTTCGACTTGCAGGGCCGTTGACGCACGGCCTACGGCTGCATCGTTCGGATCATTAGCTTCTTGCCCAGGAAAAAATTGCTATCGCAAGAGAAGATTGCAAAATTTTATTTTTGCGACAACCATTTCAATTTTGACTCCATTCTCTCACTCCCTATGTGTCTCCATTGATATTCCCACCCACGTCGGTAAGCAAACACGCACGCACTCACTCGCTCACAACTAGCTAGCTCACCGAGTAGTAACATTTGTTGCATTGTTTCTGACCATGAGTTTGCTAGACTATACGTTGAAGTTGTCGAGGCCAGGCTTGTCTCGAAGTAGAGTCTCAAGAAGCAACCTTTGATGATACAATATCAAAATGTCTGACTACACAAGAGCAGTTTGCCGAGAATCGTCATACTAGATCATGGGAGCCTTTCCCTTGATATCCACTTGCAACTTCTTCTTTTGCTTCCTAGCTCCTTCCTCAAGCCCATTAACTTCCAACTTTAACCTGACAACAGCGTCATCTAAGACTTCTAAATCTCTAAATAGAATACCAGCAGGATTGTTGTAATCCATAAACGTCTCCAAAATATGAAACGCTGAGTTGACAATATGAGTGTGTTAAGGATTCACATCTTTCAGCAACGGGAGCAGACATTCAAAGCAGGGCTGAATATCAGCCCTGCTTTCCTCAGGGTGGCACAACCAGAAGATGAAGAAACCAAGATAGTGACAAGAGAGAGCAAAGCTTCCACGAATGCAACCGAATAGCTCCATCTACCACAATAACTGAACCAACAACCTTATTCATTAGACTAGTCAAGATACCTCTATGATCACCCGCACTAATAATGGTGAGCACACTCCACAGTGGGGATTTGTCTTGTGACTAGGCTGCTAAAGCAAGCACAGCAAAAATCATGATATTTTCAAGAACTATGTACTCTCAACGTAACACGGTAACCAACTCGTTCATAAATTTGGGCTCGCTGATGAAAAACGCCGTCAAACCTTTGTGATCAAGATTTGATTGCAACAAGACGGTGAAGACAAGTGATTGTATACACATGTATTGCCTTCGGCTTGTGAGAGAGGCAAACGTCATGACAAATCTTATCCTTGTTAGCAAAGAGAATCGAAGACTAGAAAACATCTTATGCTGATCTGTGAGCTTCTTCAAGAGCTCAAGATCATTCTCTGGTCATAGATGCAAATCTGAGATGTGCACGACCTGCAATCCGGAGGCTTTTGAGGAAGATTTCACATCATACTCCCCTTGTGTATTTCCATCCGCATAAAACTCAAAATGAAAAGTTGAATCTAATCTATACGCGTATACATCACACCCGTTTTCAATAATAGCACAGGCTAATAGCTGCAAGCATTTTTCTTTGCCAACCCACCCTTTTCTCATAGTTTCAAGAGAATCGAGTCAACAAAGCGTTGATTTTCTCCAAGGAGTGTTCATGACAGTATTGATGAATGTCCTTAGTCGAAGAACGGCCTTGACTCCCGACGTTTTCTTCGCCTTCATGGTGCTGCTCTCACGGAAAAACTATCGCTGAGAGTTGTGACATGTCCCTGCTGCCTACGACCTCTGTTTGACCACCGCAAGTGAATGTCGTCTCCAATCCGTTGCTATCATCAGTAGCAAGCAAGAACGGCTCCTCCTCAGCATTCAAATTCGACCGCGGCAAAAAAAAACACAAACACACATTTTCAATGGAATTCTTTCGAAACACACACTCTTGGTTCTTCCCAGTGCAAGAACCAAGAGCGTTCCCCGCTGATCTAAATTTCCCACTGCTTCTCTGCTTGTCTTGTCGTGACAAATTTCTCTACAACGTACACAAAAACATTAACACTATCTTCAAGATAACTGTCAACAAGTACAAACACTGACAAATTTTCCAAACCAAAAATTGTTTAAAAATCTAGCCCTCCTTCACTTGAAAAAAATTATCAGAAAAAATAATTCTCAATCCAAAAACGCAAACGTCCGAATTGCAAGAGGTTTTGACACAGATTCCGAATCGAAACCTGCTTTGATACCAATTGTTACAGTGAAACCCAAGAAACACAATGACAAACTCAAGCCAAACCAAGCCATCAACACAAGAGACAAAACTAACTTGTGATGTATTACGTCCACGGGGAAGTGCATCATGAGATTATACTTAATGTTATGTCTAGTAATACACATACCTTGGATATATATACCCAACACCGGCGACTAACCTAGCTATAAATAGCTAAAACCTGAGGTTAGTCTTTAACCAAAGTTAACCTCCAACAGCACTAGCCATCATAACCACACTCTTAAGAATTCTTAACATTGAAAACTGATTCATGAAGGGATTTAATTTGAACTCAATCTTGAGCCCCAGGTCTTATAACAATGGTTTAGCAATGAGAATAATGCTAATTGCTCAATCAGCTCTAACTTTTGTATCTCATTTGCATGAGTATAAGTAACTATAGTAAGATAAGTAAATAAAATAAGGTAACTACAATTTAAATCATGACATTTTTCAAATTGAAAAAGTCTTATCCTCAAACCTTACATTGGCATTCAATTGCTATCTTGAAAGTGTATTTTGTCAAATGAAGATTCAACACAAAAACTTTACATCATGAGCCCATCTCCTTGGTGACAGCTCTATCATGAGTCTACTATACACGCCTCGCATACGATAAAAAACCTATCCAATTTAATTCATTGTTGTGATTTGGTAAATATGTGAACTGATTATGCATCTACTAGACTGTAAAATTGCATTTCATCACATTTTTTTAACTTCTGTCTTTAGAAAAGTAAGTCTCTAGATGATTTGTGCAAGTCTGGAAAATTTGGTCATTGGCAGATGTTATTGATGTGTATCTGCAAAAATTCTAATTCTTCAAACAGTAGATCATGGTTTTTAAACAGTAGATCTAAATCGATCAATTTTTGTTGCCAGGTGATAGTAGACGGAGACAATATCAATTAAAATTGCTCCTCCTTTGTTGTGGGGATTAGCGCATCGCTGAGATTAGTTCAGATTTTCTAGGTGTCAACCAAAGCATTTCGAACCGGCATATCCACGTTGGGCTTGCCGAAGCCCCAGTAGCCGTGTCTCAAAAAACCGGTAGCTTTGGGTCTTCGACTAAACTGTTTTAACTGACCCTGTTCTAAGATTCTTCCATTAAGCTCTGAATGGGCTCTAGTTGAGCACTGATCGATGAATATTTCAATCTACATCTTAAGGTTTGATCTTTCAGATACTAATTTGTACTACTGTTATAACGGATATTGGAGTACATGATACGAAAGTCCTCAGGTAAAGGGTGAATATCTGGCCAACATTGCTGGGCGAGAGATGAAATACAGAGATTATAGTCAGCTCAACAAGTATTTCAGAAAAGGATAGAGATTGTCTGGATCCACTCTTGTTCTTTGACTTTGGATCAGTGCTAAAACCAAGGATTGTTTTCAGATATCTGAAGTTTGCGCTGCTTTTTACAATCCACGTCCCACACAATACGGATACCACGCCACTGTGGAGGTGGTGCCTCCAAACCAGAAGCAGGTTTCGGAACATCGCACTGCACAAATGCAAAGAGTTTAGAGTTTAAACATTCGCAAGGCTCTGTTACTGCAAGAATGTATGCACAAAAGAGTTTGGAATTTCTGAGCACGGTCTATGGGCAAAAAACATACGATAACACGACAGTCGAGGAAAATCTTAAATGGAGCTTGCGAAGGCAGCGTAGCGTTCCTCGGAGATCGTCCAGGTTCTACAAAGTTTGAGTGGCCAAACCTGGTTGGAGTTTGGCCACTCAAACTACAAAATTCGAGAGCTGATGATTGGTTCAGGTCAACACTTACGCATTTTCCTCCCTTGGGGAATGATGTATGCCAAAATTCAGGGCCGAATCTCTTGTTCCAGAAGACGTCCCTCGAAACCCATTTTCTGTAAGAAGGACACGATTTAGGAATTCGAACCACAAGAATATAGCTCATCTGCAGTTCAACCTGCAGTAACTTGCAGCAGTTAGTACGAAGCTATGGAGTATCATGAGCTATATCATCACTACACGACAGACTGTTTAAGGCTGTTCTCTTTACGAGCACGGTCAAATCGAGCGGGTTTTCATAGAATCTCACTCCGGAACGGCTGCCAAGTGGACGCGATCCTGAAGTTCATCGTCACATGTGACCCGTCCGGCCATGGATGCTTTGAACGCAGGTTCTGGCCAATCGCGCATGCTCAACATTTCCCTGCATCGACTTCTTTCTGGCACTGACTCACCCATTAATGTCTTTTCTCGCTTGTCCTGTTAAGCAAACAAGAGAGATGGCTTACTCGACGGACCTCGTGGTGCGTGTGCAATGGCGCTCAAGAGGTCTCTCTCATGAATAATGAGAGAGTGACCATAAGTGATCCAAGTTGGTGGGACTCAGAAATTGGTATGTAGAAACTGTTAAGCAGTTCGTGTGTTGACCAATGGGCCTTCCTCGGTGTTGGTCAACACCGAGGAAGGCCCATTGAAGGTCTGGAGCACTGCGAGTCTCATACCTTGTCCCAGTCATGCTTAACAGGATCACGCAAATTCTTGTCGTTGTACTTCAAAGCTGCATCTCGGAACTCGAAGGGGTCGTATTCTCTCTCATGAATAATGTCTAGATACAAATTCCTCTTTCTCGCAGCTTCGCAATACTTCTTTTGTAGAGCCGCTGGCGACCGCAAGCAAGCAGATAGCCATGTTATATATAACTCGAGAAAGAAGCACACAACATACATCGACGTCAATCCACTAGCTAAGACGACAGTGAAGTTCCGATGGTTCGTGGTGTCCGCAGAGAGCAGTAGATGAAGCTCACGCAGTCTCTAGGTGTATTCAGTTCCGTGCACTCTGACGCAGGCTCCACTCCGTCCTTTCCACGATCGAGTGTCGTCAGCTAATGGTGCTCACTACAGCTTGATACTCAACGGTGTGTGGTGAAGCGTGTGAGGATTGGGAACAGACAGGTTCCCTACAGAACTTCGACTGATCTCTTCGACTTTCTTGTCCCACGAAATCATAGACATCCTTGAGTCTCTGGACATCATCCGGTGATATTCATGTACTGCGGTGTGAGCTGAAGTCTATCCATCTCGCTCAACTCGAACAATTAAATTGCACAGAACTGGGTCGAAGCCTATGCGTTAACTGAGCAGTACATGTGCAGGTTCCGTGTACGTGATGTGCACCCGATCGTGTTCACTCCCATTTACATCTGCTTACTCATTGGCAGAAGGCAGGAGTGTCAGACTTACTGTTGCGTAGAGAAACTTGGTCTGCTCTGTACGTGTCGTCGTTGATCTTGTCCCCTGTTTGCCTCTGAATGAAATTGAAAACATGCAGGTCCCATTCCTCCCACATGCGCATCTTCCTCTCTCTCATCATGTCCGTGTCTTTGTGGATGGTATGGAGCGTATCCTTCATAATCCCGTTGTCTTTCCCTTCGATCCCCTCCCAGATCTCATCAAAATCTTTCTGGAACTTTGCCTCATTTCGATTTTCCTTCTTCTTTAACCAAACTTGTGCTTTCTGTGGACAGTAAAGACTCCCCGTGTTTTAATACATGGAGAAGAATTGCCTTAAGGCCGAAGCACAGATAGGCATTCTATTCCATTCCGTCTGACTGAAATAGAAGAAGGGTGACACCATCAGTGCCCCGATTCACAAATTTGTTCACTTCAATCTTCGGACTGAGCTTTAATTCGAATGTCTGCAGAATTAAATCGACCTTATTCTTCAGAACCCTAATTTGGGCATGCGACATTGGGCTTGATCTGATGTTAATGATCACCGCCACTGGTTAACTTCGACAGAAATGTGACCAAAGAGTAGGCAATGTGTCGTTGGCCTACTTACCTGCCATTCTTCTTCCGTGTGATTGATGAGCTTGCGAGGATACGGGCGTTTGGTCCATCTGCGGCATATCCATCCTCCGCCTTTGTGCTTTTGATAGTATCCAGAAGGTGTCAGAAGCTTGCATATGTGCTGAACACAAGGAGCCGCCCCATCACAACGGAGTCAGCCCCAGCATATGCTTGATTCAAGACAAGTGCGGCCACCTTGAGACGTCTCTGACCGTGTTTGCCTCGATCGAAGTGCATGACACGCATCTTTGACCACCGTCCCTGGATTAGGAATTCAGCAATTTATATCGATTCATCTCTTTCCTAGAAACAAAAATGATTCAAATTACATAATTCCGGCCAGTGTGCTCTGAATACCACATCAAATCAGCATGAAGGGATTATTGGCGTTGTTTCCAGTGTCGATGGGAGTTTTTGTGTCCATCTGAAACCGAGCCCGATGTAAGTTAGTGGACGAACACTGCCGTAAAGTCAAGACGTGAGAACGGAGGGGTGAAAGAATCAATCACTTACTTTTCTGTCACCCGTCACCGGATAATGGTGCAGAATGCGTCTTCCATTCTTTGGATCGATGGGAACACGAGGTCTGACCCAGCCAGGAGTCACCCACTCGGATTCCAGGGGATGAATGATTTTGGTTGGTTCTGGTCGTCTCGTGGGCAGGTCTTGTTTGATACGGATTGGAATCTTGACGATGCCCCATCGGGATTGCACTTTCGGCGGCGGTTTGGGTTTGCGGAAGCTCCTGTCGAACGAGGTGAAGTGGCCTAGAAATGGCAGAGGAGTGGCGACGATGACGCCATTCGAATCTGGCTCGGCCGATTCTTCGGCCAGAAGGATTCTGCTCGTGTTTGGATCCGGGAGTTCATATTTCTCGTTCAGAAACACCTCGGAAGGCCCTTCGCTCTCCACAGGCTCCTCCTCGGGAGAATCGCCGAATTTTACCACGCCCAGCTTTCCCACCACGAGAGGAGGATCTCGTTCGTAAACAAGTTCATCTTCTGCGGGCTCCCCGAGTGGTTCCGACCCGGGGTCATCAATACATTTGTGACAGGGATCAGCTTTCTTCTGATTTTTGCCACTGTTGTCGCTCCTCTCGCTCTTCTCGCTCTTCTCGCTGTGCTCACAGTCCTCCTTAATGCGGACCTTCATGACTTCGACTCGACAAAATGTTTCTCTTCGTTCAATCAACGAAAGTCCCGAGAATCTTCCTCCAGCAAAGCAGCAGCGACCTGCGCCTGCTGTCCGAGGCAACCCTCATCAGAAAAAGGTCCAGACTTTCCCGCCGCCTACATTTTCCGAATTACCCGCAAAATTGACAGTCTTGCCAAGATTCCGCCTGAAATTGACGCTGCGGCGGGGGAAGACCGATTTCCGAACGCTTTCTCATCAAGAGGTCGTGCCGAGCAGAATTGCTCTGCTCTGGAACCCACAGCGGCTGTCATTCCTTCCCATTCCAATACGCAGTGGCGAAACTAGAGCTCTGTCGAGGGCTAGACATACACTTGAGAAGTCCAGGCAGCCCGCTCCGCGTCAGCGCAATAGACTGGATGCTTATTTACTCTTTTCCCCGTACACACGAGAGACTCCAAGCTCCAAGATGCTCTTCCTCCCGAATTTCAAGGCATTATGAGGGAGAGAAGGGTAAGAGGGATGGATGGCCGAGTGCATGGACTGGTTGAGGCCAGTCCATGCACTCAGCCATCACTGCACTCATCCATCCCTGTTACCTTTCTCGATAGGGATGATCGAAACGCACGGACTGTCATCACACAAATTTCTCTGCAGCTGGTGAGTGACGAAATTGGAATCGGTGGCGTCAGCAGCAGTCAGTGCTTCTTCTGGTCAGGTCGCTTCCTTCGAACTCTTCTTCGTGGCCACAGTTCCTTCTCCTGCCAGACAAGGAAACATTTCTTTTAGCGCCTGAGAACTTACCTCCTGCGGATCCATAGCAGGAGATCTTGAGTTTTTTTAGTCATATCGTGATCCTCCAGGAACCAGATTTCCGAAAAAAAGCAACATCGGATCACTAAAAGGGCACAGTTTCCAGAATGAGGACCTCCTCGATCCGGAATTCCCATAGGTGGGCGTGCTTCATAGAGAAACTGAAACAACATGTGGCTGCAAAGAGTTCGCACCTACACTTCTCTTCGGAATGGGCCTCCAGATGCTATACACTTTTAGCTGCTGGATGGAATAAGTCTCATATCATCCGAAAATCTGGAAGAATTAATAAAGTCTGATACAGACGCAGAAAGGTCTTTCCTTATTTCGACAAGTCGGTTGCGAGAAATAAGAATCTTCGGCTCTCGGTATCTCTCCCAGTCCTGCTGCAACTGAGTCGATGACGGGGGCTAGAAAAAACTCCATGACTGCACCGCAGTTCATAGTCTTGGTACTAACGGTGGTCGTCTGTTCAATGCTTTCCTCCTGGTCCTGTTCGTTTGGTTCTGTTTCACTAACGTGCATGGAACCTGGAGACTGCGGGCCTGATCAGCTGAAACTTTTGTTTGTCCTTTTCAAATTCAGTGAGTAGTGTTTAGAACTACTTGTCAGCCATTACCTGAATTAAATTGCTAGATGTGAAGTAATTCTAAAGTAGCTGTAGTAAATTTCTTCTCTATAAGAAAAGGACGTTTTGAATCAGGACTTTATCGAATCACATGCTCTTTCGAAAAGCTGCGTTGAATGTGATATATTTGAATCACCTCTAGGTGATGTCTCTCCACTATCTTCTGGACTCTCTTTACACTTCCGATAGCTTGCCTAAAAAATGCTATTGAGATCAGAATTCTCAACCTAGCACTTTCCACTTTGAACGGAAGAAGTAACCAGATCAAAATCATGTGTGTCGATGGTCAAGTTGGAAATTGGAAAAACTCCAATTTTAAGTCTGGGTTCATATCAACATACTTCCTCACCATTCAACGCCATTGCATCAATCATGGTCCTGTATGAAGTTGAAATCAAGAAAAGGGGACGCATGGCGTAGAAACCGCGATGCTCGGCGATTCGAAGATGAATACGACAAAAGCGGGAGAGCAACAGCCTGATAACTTGATTTGAGGATCTTGTTGAAAATGGCTTTTTGCCCACACTTTCTTCCAAAGGACTCTGTGAAACCCCTTAATGATTGCCAAGCCTCGCCCTGCAGTGAATCCTTATCAGTGTTGAGAGGTAAATTGGTACTTCCGAGTCAGGCTTTATCATTGGATCATTGAATTCCGCTCTCACATTCATTCATGCAGCGAGGGATCATCTGCAGCGAGGGATACCACTCGTTTTCGGTTTCTTCCAAGCAGTGTATTGCAGGATGGAATTATACAGATAATGTCTCCGGGCTCAAACATATATCTGGAACCAAATCGACCGCTCATACCATATTCTCATGAGTCCATTTAGAAGGCATGGATGTCTGAACGGTGGCCTGGCACATCACATACTGACCTATCTGTGCCTTTCACTTTCTTGTGCCGCTCAAATTTGTACTCAGAATGAGTACAAATTTCAGTGAGATAGAAGCAAGACGATGGATGCTTAATGAGTATGATTCAGCTATTTCCATCGAACACTTACTGCAGCCCATAATAAATCACGCGTAATAAATGGTTGATAAGGTTTGGACAGGTAAGTTTATTCCACTGTGTCTGGTGACGTGAACTAAAACACCCTATGATGCCGCAAACTATGTAATAAATGTAGTCGGCACACCTGATTTACCATATTTCGTTGAAAGGAAAGAATAATTTCATTTTACTATATTCTGAAGAGAGCTAACACATATGACATACTTTCCAACTCGAAGGTAAATGTATTGAGCTATAACTCCCCATTAGCTACTGGGAATGACGTGAAGATATACGATGGCACTTTTAAGATACAGCAGATTTATTTCCACACCGGAACGAATGCTTGTCCTGGTCACTTCAAACCGAGGAATGAAACTCAGTGTAACTCCAGTTCAAGATTTCTACAACCGGAAGATTGAAGTCCATAGTCCCGGGAGCACCACAGAATAAGCCCATTAAGCTACTGGGAATGACTTGAAGATATACGATGGTACTTTTTAGATACAGCAGATTTATTTCCACACCGGAACGCATGCTTGTCCTGGTCACCTCAAAACGAGGAATGCAACTCAGTGTAACTCCAGTTCAAGCTTTCTACAACCGGAAGATTGAAGTCCATAGTCCCGGGAGCACCACAGAATAAGCCCATTAAGCTACTGGGAATGACTTGAAGATATACGATGGTACTTTTTAGATACAGCAGATTTATTTCCACACCGGAACGCATGCTTGTCCTGGTCACCTCAAAACGAGGAATGCAACTCAGTGTAACTCCAGTTCAAGCTTTCTACAACCGGAAGATTGAAGTCCATAGTCCCGGGAGCACCACAGAATAAGCACATCATGCATCCCGTCCTCAAGCGGTAGGAGCTTGGGCTCCCGACACGGCAAGATAGACGCGAGAAGCGACGGAGTAGGACCAGACTTGGAGAACGCCGCTGGGCTCCAGGCGAGCGAATTGATCGGTGGTGACGGTTTCGGAGCCGTCGTAAGGAGGAGACGAGGACGGGAACGGGTCGATGACCGACGTCGAGTTGGCTTCGGGCTGAGAGCACAGGGTCGGATCCTGGACGCTGGTCGAGGCGACGGTCGTGCCCGTCAGGACCACCACGCCGTCGGCCGCGCTGAAGAACGTGTCGTGATCGTAGAGGCACGTGTGCTGCGTGGCGTAGACGGTGTCGTTGGTGGGTATGACAGACTTCCACCACGTAGGCGCGCTGGATGTGGTGCTGGTGATTGTCACTCCTGCCACCTCGGCGTTGAAGCGGTAGCTCCCCGTGGAGTAGTTGCTGCTGGACACGGCCGACGCCAGCGAGCTCGGGTACAAGAGAGTCTGGCCTGGCAGCAGAGTGTCGGTGGGTTCTTTCCAGCTCTCCCACACTGTGGCGTTGAAGGTGTCGAGGAATTTCAAGTTTCCCTCCGCACCTAGCTCGACACCAAAATCGGTCTGTGAGACAAAATCGACGGTGAATTTGTCAGCGTCCTTTACAACAACACTAAAATAAGTAATTTCATTGAGCATAGCACGTATAGCAATCGAATCGAAATTTCAAGTGCAGCCAGACTTTATGTACAACTCGAAACTCCAATGTTCGGAGCAAAAGCTCGACTGATCGAGTCCGAGGAATTATTCACGCAGGTTCCAGCAGGAAGAGGCTCAAAACGCTTGGATTCGATGGACGTTCATTATATCAGTATTCCATGTACGAGCTGTTGGAGGCATGATCGTCTGTACGATATGCCCTGAATCCAGTTTCGACCTTGATGAGTATGACACCAGGTCAATATCCTCCTCATATAATTGAGAAAGTAAAGATCGAGAGAGAGGGTTCAAGTACGGAAGATGCGTGAATACATGCGCCATTCCTCAACTTTAAGATGAAGTAAAGATATGTCTCGAGTTTGGGAACACACCAACATTTGTGTGCAGCATAGATATCCACGACAAAATTAATAGAAGTAAAATTACGAGCAAAACGAGAGTGTCAACCCGAGCTTCGACAGAGTTTTCATCTCGGTAAAGAATTTAGCAGCAAACGGGAAGGATGAAATCGACATTTTTCAGGAACTCGCGTCCCGATCCTTGTCAGCAACTGATGAGATACAAAGTATAGAAAGGAGCTGTGAACATACACTTGTGCCGGCGTAAACACCAGGGCTCTTCCAAACCAGAGTACCGTCTGCATCTCTCAGTGACAAAAAGACGCTTCCGCCGCCAATCTCCGTGGCGAACGTTGCGTTCTGGTGCACGGGGGTGTCTCTGTTGGGACTCCAGACGGGGATCCAGGCCTCGCTTACAGTGAAGGGTTTGATCACCAGGGCGAGGTAGAATGTAGCATCTGCACCGTACCCACTTTTCTGTCCGGTCGTACTCAAGAATTCCAGCGCGAACTGCTGTGTTCCTTCGATGAAGATAATTCTGGGAGTATTGCCATCTCGGGTCCGTACCTCAAGGCTAGCATCATTAGTCACTGTGAAAACTCCAGCAGTTGTCGGAAAGTAATCAGCGCATGCCGTTCCAGCAAAGAGTAAAAGTGCAATGGCACAGGCCAGTTGGCATGAGCTTGCCATCGAGGCGTAACGCATGAATTCAGCTGGCAAACGAATTTGAAGCCGACCTCGAGAGCAGCTTTAAGTGATTGCAAGGACACCGAAACTTTTTTTGCGAGTACCCTTCAGCAATGTTCGGGCTCAATTTTTATTCAACAGATAAACTCGACCTGATACTTATACTATCCGCAACACACTCGACATGTGAAAACCCGACGTTGCTTCCTTGACCTGGTCAGCTATAGCAACGTGAAATTTCTTTGTGGATGAAGGTGAAAGGTGGGTCCACTTTGCAAGACCGTGTCACATTTCAATTGAGGTGACAGGTTGATGTGGCCCCTACGGCTTTCACAGCGAGCCAAGGGCGTCAGCTGTTGTCGATCATGTTCATTGCAGATCAATTCAGACCTTTTCTGGTGCGAGCTTTATCTGCCAACGTTCTCACTAAGCCTGTAGAAGGCCATCCAGTGTCAAGCAGGTCGTGAGATCACCGACAGGTCGATCAGAAGTTTCTCAACCCAAGTGCTGCGTCTGTCACAGCAAATGTAGGAAAGCAGATTCAGTGCCAACGGTTCGTCTGAGAACTAATCAACGATTATTCTCGTCCCATGATACCTACGGAAGTGTTCGACCTCTTAACCGAACTCCAAAGTTGTTTACCTGAATTCTATCCGAGATCAGTCAGAGGAAATACAGTGCTTCTGTACTTTTAGACTGGCTGTGATCCCTCATCTGTGTTCTCTTGGACGTTACTGGAAGCAAAGAAGGATCACTTAATGAAACCCTTCGAAGTATCGACAAGGTGACGTTTCAGACCTTGAATTAGTAAAAGCTTTGATATATACCGATTAACAACAAAGAAAACGCCCTGTTGTTGGGATCGATGCTGCTAATTAAGGAACGCGGATATTTATGTGATGCCCGAATCTGTCTGGATCTCTGGCTTCTCTGCTAGCAATGAAGTCAGATTGAACTTGCAAACCTCCAGGAAGTTCAGCAACACGTGGCGCTGAGCTAGTTCGTTTCTTCATGGCAAGAGAAAGCCGAGCTGCTTTTAGAGTTGTACCTGCCTGCAAGCCAATGCCCTTGAAAAACTTCTTAGAAGATATTGTCAATGGGCAGAGTGTTCTAGCGGATACCCCATCTGAGACGTGTGATGAGTTCGCAGTTTCGAACTCTTTTTACTTACACGGCAGCTGCCCTTTACACCTTCTATTGCTCCAAATTTCACATCAGCCTGGCAGGAATCTGGTCAATTTTCCATTGACCTGTCCACGGCTGTAAACTAGTGTGTACAGTTAATCCAACTCGCCCGTTTGTAGTAACTGAAGATGTTGCGAAGCTGAGGGGAGGGGAGTAGGGAGGGTGGAAGCGAGATCTTCACAATTTATGATCAGCAGATTCAGTAATTTAAGCTGCTGCATGACTGGTCCATTCTTACGGATCATGTAGGCGTCATCCCGACAGGAAGTTCAGGACATTTCGTCTGCTTACAGCCTAGGAGCTCACGCCACCTGTCGGACAATCATAGGAAGATGTCTGTTCAGGGGAGCTGGTCAAAGTAGCAGGGTGCAGGTGCGCAATTTTGGATATCAGCGAGCGCGTCAAAAAGCTCGCAGTATTCCAGTCTTGTCCAGTCGGCGCTATGCTAGCGACCATCCGTCTGGTCAACCAGGCTGGATGTGAATCTCGTGTCAAAGGATCGATGGTTTCTGGATTGTGGTGTGTAGCAGCCATACTACGGAAGATACGAAAATCCTGCCAAAAGCCCAAATGCAGATAACATGTCCTGACGTTCTTTCATGCATCAACAACGATGACATATCTCCAACTAAAGTGAAGCACATCGTTGCCGTGCTGCAAGCTACGAAGAGGTTTTCAGGCTGGTACCTTTCCGTGTGTTGCATAGCGGGCGTAGACTTTGTTGACTTGAGAGCTCTAATAAGGGTGTGGATTGAGATTAAGGCATTCGTCATCCGTAACGTCGAACACGCATAAGAACCAAAGCAGGATTTCAATAATATAGACTCTGCAGTACAAACCTTCCTTCCTCAAATAGAAAACCATATCGACTACATACACTCATATCCGGCCTGTTGACATGAAAATGCTGTTATTTTCTCATATTACGTCACTCTGTTGACTGGTTGCTCACAAAGCTAGTTTGGATTCTGACCAAGTTTCATTTGACGATTTGGCGGGTGGATCATAAAAGGGACATGAAAGGCATTCTCTCAAATCTAGTTAGCTGGATACAATTTTTTCACAACCTTCGCCCTCAGATTAAACTTAAAAATAAGAAGTGCATAACTATTTGAATTGACATAATTGGCTTTGGATGGCTGTGCATTAACGCGACGCCAAGCTCGGCGCTCACTGTTAATGGACCTGCCTGAATGGTAAAAATTGAAATCTGAACAGCGACAGTGATAAAATCTGATCGGAGATCATATAATCTGATCAGATTTTCAAAAATCCAGTGGTTCCATCTGGGTACAAAAATTGCTCGCACATAGCTTTGGAGATGCTTATAAGGATGGTTATTCCCAAGCTTCATGCACGAAGCCCTACCTCACATGCAACAAGGTAGTCTCGAGCGACACTGCAAACCTGACTCATCCGAGTGATGCCTTCGTCTCCAATTCTTTCTCCTACAACAATAAGATTAATTATCTCATACTTGATTAAACAACATGGACAAAAACAAAACCTCAACCCTAACTTTGAAGTCCTCTTCTGGCTTCCGGGGCCGTAGGAAAATTTTCATCGACGAAGGTAGACGTGAGCATTGACAATGGAGATTTGACCACGTCCAACCTACCTAGGACGACCCCAAAAATTCCAGAAAAAGTCTCCGGCATATTCTTCACCCAGTAAGTTCCTGAGCCAGAATGATTTAGAGCCAGGGACCAAAAGACGTCGACCTTTGGGCCTAACTTCATTGGATATCTTGCTGACATCTTCCGCCAGGGTGCTGTCGAGAGGGTGATGTTGAGAATAACGCAAAGTTGGGTTGAGGATGAGGCTGATTGTAACTTCAGTGCGCTGTCTTCACGAGAGAGCACGGCTGCGAGTCTGCACATTTGGTGGAGCACCAGAGAAAATGTCGACTTCAACGAGTAGGGCAGTTTCTGTGGAAGTATAATTAAATACCATTTGCTTTTATCTTCATCCTAGCCTCATTGACCGTGACTTGACAACAGATATTTGCTTTCTCATTACAGCACTGCCTGACTACAAAAAGCTGCCAAAATGAAGCATCCGGAAAGAAGACAGGCAGGTTCCCAAGGTCATTATCACGATATCATTTCTATCGTATCTTAAGAACTGGGTCGACATTGATCTCGACATCGCGTCAGCTGATAGTGGATTTGCAACCATACGTGGAGGTGGAGCTATGGCGAAGTCAAGTCAACTGGCCTGCTCGATTGCATTTTTGTTCTTTGTTGGGGCTGCATCAGCTCAGTTCTAATCAACCCTGAAGTGCTGACTTCAGAGTCGGATCTCACGGACTTCATTGAGTACAGTCGGACAGAAGAGTGCGTATGCTTAATTCTTCCTCGTCCTAGTCATCAAAACCTTCAACATTAAGCAGGCCTGGCTGGATCGCCAACAGAAATAGACTCGTGCACCCGAACGCACTTTTGTCCGTGAAGCTCAGCACTTCTGGTCCTAAGAGACTCAGAACGCTCTCTCGGTTGGATGAGGAAAATAAATTTATAAAAGTTGAGATTTTCTTCAAGTGTCTATACTACTCAAACTTTGAATATTACATGAGATTAGTTATGTTTCAGATGAGGCATTTATTTTGGTAATATTTTTCTTCAAGAGTCGAAAAAGAAGTTTCCCATCATAAGGCTAACTTCTCTCCAACAGAGTCTAAAAAACTGCAATTTACTTGGTCCTCAAAACCTAGTTCTTCTAACAGTCCCCAATTGCAATGAGGTTCATTGCACGATCACCTAAAATTTATGCACATGTTTATGTAAACCGGCACTTACTAGATTTAGTTTGTAGCCATGTAAGTTATGATAATTATATAGTGCTAGTGCTCATCTATCACGAAAGATTTATAGCACATCAAACATGGCAATATATATTAACTGAATAATATCTATCATACATATTATTTTTATCCTGAGACATGGATGTTGAAAATATATGTATCAGTACCAAAGCATCATCACGTATAACAGTCAAGTGGCTTGTTCCATACACTTCCATAAAGAGTGCTCGGAATTGAGGGCTATCAGATTACATAGTAGCTACTCTCCACCATTCAATATCATAATTTAGAACTTCGCTCGCAGAAAGAACTTTTTCCAATGACATCGTCTTACGCTTCACGCTTCGCTTCTTAGTGCACGGGAACCGAAGCGTTGCATAAATGTCAGAAAAGCTAGGGTTACATCCTAAACAGATGCCTCACGTCTATATCAAGGGCAAAGATAAACAAGGGTTAGGAATAATACAATGAAGCACAAGGGGTTTCGATTTTGGATCCATTCAAAAGTTGGCAGTACGCAATGATATACTATACTGAGCTTGAATGAGCCCTCCGTGCAGCCATAGATAGAATTTTCGCATAAAACATGCCAAACTTGTGCCCTTTCTCGTTGCAATTGAGGAGTGGAGAGGTCACAGAGGTTCCGCCCGTACATGTGTAACGGTTCCAGATCGGTCCGCCTCCGTATAATGGCCTCTTGCTTACTTATCGTACATGAGTGATGGGTGATCCTCAGGCTACTGCAAGAAGATGGACGATGCTTGCATTGAAATATGACTAAACCATCAGTACGTCATGCACCAACAATGTAGATTGGCTATTGGAGACGAAACATTAGCTTTATACAATGAGTACTAACTTAGCGTCGGAGACTTCGTCCGTCCAAACTTTAGCCACTATAACATTCACTTGGAAAAAAAAAAGAGACCGTCGACGCTCACTTGTCTTCTGTGGCCAATTTGCTCAAGTGTACATTGCAATGATTAAATACCTTCGTACTTGAACCTGTATCATTGCATATTCAACATGAGCGTGATCGGCCTGTGAATTTCAGAGATGCTAGTACTTCAGAGTGAAGTGCTGGTTTCGGAATCCAGAGTCTAATGAATGTTATGAGGTTTGACATACTGGAACAACAACAAGTTGAGCCAACAAGTTTTCGACTAGATCATTCTTCTACTGGTATGTGTATCAAGTTGAAGATAATAATTTGCTGCAAAATGTTCAGTCAGTTTTGAAGAACAGGCAGTAGAATGTCAGACAGGCCAGGCCAGAGAATGTCAAGACATTCTTTGGCCTTAATATTGAATATCTCATCCCCCATGCTGAGTTGAAGTCAGATCCAATTTTAACTCTAGGACTCTTGATCGATGACCTTCGTCCATTCTTACGTCAAGTAACCTGCTTTGCTACTGAATGCAGAAGGAACCAGCAGGTGAAAGGTTGGTATCAAAGAATGTTGTCCAGTGCCAAGGGTTCCCTCTCGATGATGACACTGCAAGTGTCGGCGGTTATTTGCATCGTCCTGTCACTGACTGGTGCAGGAGCCGTCATAGCTGCACCAGAAGAGGACCTCGTCACTAAATTACCAGGTCTTCCTTCCTTAGGCTTCAAAATCTACTCAGGTTACGTCACCGTGGATGAGCAACATGGCCGAGCTCTCTTTTACTTCTTCGTGGAGGCGCAGAAAGATCCAGAGAATAAACCCCTCACGTTGTGGCTAAATGGTGGTAATCACTCATTACTGAATCTTTGAAGACTAATTCTTGTTGATTGTATACTTCAATTTGTTAGGAACAGTTTCCAACGTTTCATACTTCTTTTCTGTTCCTATTCTTTCAACTTGCTGCTGCAGGGCCGGGATGCTCTAGTTTTGGAATCGGGAACTTCAACGAACACGGACCCTTCGCCATTCGAGAAAATACTATTGTGATAAATCCTTATTCTTGGAACAAAGGTATGTAGCTCAAGAATATGTGACACCTGAGGCTTCAATGTCGAGTTTATGCTAGTAAAGTCTCTGTCATTACATCTTTTCTCCGATATTCACTGGAGGAAAGTATGCACGAAAATACTGCATAATGTGGACTATTGCTCATGGACAGTTGTGTATTCTTGTGGATTTTGCAGAGTCGAACGTACTGTACCTGGAATCTCCAGCAGGAGTTGGATTTTCTTACTCCAACACTACCATCGACTACGTGACTGATGACGAAAGGACAGGTAAAACAGGCATGTTCCCTTTGATCATACATATTTGGAAAGATCAACATGACTTCGATGTGCTAGTCATTTCTCAGCATCAAAAGTGAAACGCAAGTCGTTCTATTTGTCGGACTTCCAGCTGATGACGGTTCTTTTTACTAAGAGTTTGAATTTATATTGCATGTACCATCAGTGGAGATGAATTTCAAACATATATTATCTCATGCTCGCTTCTTCACAAACATAATCTATATCTCGTGTGTACCATATAATCTGCCTCACTTACGCGAGGATTGCCTCATTAAATATTCAGCAGGATATGTCAGTCAAATTTCATTAGCAACAAGCAGGAATATGCCACTGAGACTCGAGGTCATTTTCGAAGCCAAAGAGGGTGCTTACTCTGATCATGCACAGAAACAATGACCGCTAGAGAGAGATTCTAATATATTGGATATTACAGCTCAAGATGCTTTCGTATTCCTTCACGGCTGGTTGGAAAAGTTTCCCGAATACCAGAATCGACCTTTCTACATGACTGGAGAGAGCTACGCAGGTACGAAGTTCTGATGATGTTTGGCTGAAGTTCTCGTCCCGGTACTCGCTTCCTTCCTTTCTTGCCAATGACTTTTGCAAAAAAAGGTATAATCAGAACTACGATATGACCGTGCAGCTGACTTCTATTTTTGTTATTCCAGGTTAAGTTACTGCTTCATTGCCTTCCCGTATATGTCGATATTCCAAAATTGATTTTAATCTTGAGGATCTAAGTTAATTTCGCTGATTTTTTGGCGCACATTAAATTATATGTGCAGGGTTGTATATTCCTCAGTTGGCAGCTCTTTTTTTCAATAGTGATCTCAGACTACAGCTCCGAGGGATTATGGTAATTCTTCGCAGTATATTTCACGAATTGGAATGTCCGAAATAAAATACTGAAAAGGTTTACGATAGTTTTCGTCGCGCCTTTTTGCCAACGACTTTCAATTGACGGCCTAAAATTGATTCTGCGTCTCTTGATTGTGGACGCAGATTGGGAATCCCGTAATTAATGTAGAGGAGGATTTGAGTTATCCAGTTATGCTTTTCTTCTTGTACACACACGGAGTGATATCAGAGGAGTCTTACCGGAGATTGGAGGTTGAGTGTGGGATTTCCAATCGCAGTACCCAAGACAACAAAGCCTGCCGCGAGACTATGGATAATGTTTTCTACAGTGAGACGGGCATGATTGACTGGTACGACGTTCTTAGTGACACTTGCGCATCAGACAGAAATTTTATGCTGCTGACCAGCAACCTGCAGCTTCCGAAGGTAATGAGATCGTGGCTCAGAAAAAAATCTCTTGCAAGATTCTTGAATCTATGATTACAAGACTTCAAGCGATGACTGTAGACTGGATAGCAGGCTTAACAAAAGGCTGGTGAATATTATTGTCAGAGCACCAACTGATATGTAGCCTTTTTATGATCGCGTCATAAGAGAGCTTTGATATTGCGATTCGGCTGAATATGGAAATAACAGCTGCAGTGCTGAAAATGAATTCGTAGGAAATCGCAGTTGCATGGTACTTTAAAGATTTGATTCCTAATTCCTGATTCCTAAACTGCAGATCCGAACGAGTCCTACCGGTCTCAGTAGAGTACACGTTACACCTGCAGACCCTTGTCACGAGAACGATATGGTTCCATACTTGGCCAGAGAGGACGTTCAGGCTGCTCTTCATGCACATCTTGCAAATGCTTCAATACCTTGGAGTGTGTGCTCGGAGTAAGTTTAGGCTGGACGATATCAAATTCTTGATGCCCTTGTGAAAATCTACACTGAAATGGATAATAAATGCTCGCACGTTTCAAATATGCAAGTATGTGAAGACTATAGATAGATCCATCTGGATAGATTCGAAAATAATAGCGACACCGCTATTGATTATACACATGCTATGCTATCGGGCTTGATTGTGCAGTATTGTAGAATACATTTCAACAACAGTGACCGTGGAGCCCGAGCTGAAACTCTTGATAACAAGTGATATCAGAGTGTGGGTTTACAGGTGAGTTTGAGAAGACGAGACTCTTATACTAGAAAACAAAGCCTTGAATCTCATTCGAATGCAATCAACAGCAAGAACTCCTCTTTCATCGAGATGCTTTTTTCGCACTCTAGATAACAAGATAAGTAAAACCATACTGAGTGCAAGCAGCAATCTCTTGAAGATTTCTGGCCCATGCATGTGAATCTAAATATGATATGAACTTTGTATTGACGTGTACCTTTTTTTTTTGATTGGATGGTAACAAAGAAAATATTTCCTTTCAACCGATTCAGTTCTTAGACTAACAAATGATACTTACCATTTCTTCTTCAGTGGAGATCAAGACTCTATCATCCCATTTACTGCGACTAGAAGAACAGTCGAGAAGTTTTCTCAAGCAACGGGTTTGAGAATCAGCTCTCATTACCAACCCTGGTTTGCGGACAACCAGGTAAGGCATGAAGTAGAGTTTTTTATTGTATTCTTAAGGCTAGTATTGATACACCTACATGGAGACGCTAGTACACGGGGCCGTTAATTTACTGAAACTTTGCCAACTGAAAATACGCCAAGACGATTTGTCAAAGACTCATGCAGAAGTTGTGAAATCTTCAAACTCTATATTCGGATATGAGAAATAACGCTGTTTATCTTCCTCAAGTCATTAACTCATGAATCAATTGGTAACGATCAGATCGGAGGCTGGACAGTGAGTTACGGGTCAAACCTTCTATTTGCAACCGTGAGAGGCGCCAGCCACATGGTTCCCAGAAGCCAGCCTGTACGTGGTCTTCAAATCTTCACTTCTTTTCTGCGCGACAACAACCTTCCACTGAGACAAGAGTAGATTCACCAACCTATGGGTACCATTCTTGAATACAATCTAGTCCGCAACGACAATGAGCAACCGATTTTGAAACACTCGACAGTACGTACGTTACGGCTTCTATGTTTTCGTTGCTTTTAGTGTACTTTACTTTGTTAAAAGTCGGGAAATGTGTACCATGGACAATGAGAAGGATTTTCTCGTTTCTTAGTATACAAAAGCAATTCTTACTCTTAACAATTGTTTAGCAAACGTACTCGTGTATGTTATTCCAGTGTTATAGTATCTAGACGGAAAAGTAATAAATAGTAAGGAAACAAATGTTGAATAGATCAATTTAAATCAATTTGGACTTTCTTCGTCTTCGAACTGCATGGACATGTAAATAACGCAAAAAATACGTTCAGTGTGCTGGCACTTCGGGGCTGGAACTCAAGAAGTACTTCTGTCACATATCCGTGACGGAGGATGAATTGATCAAATTCCTCACTGAGCACCGTTGGAATTCTATAGCTGAAAGTTTATCACGTGAGCAAAACGTCGTCGTTTATGTAAGATGACGTTCCATATCCCCACTGCATGCTCTGGAGGAACTTTTTTCCACGATATAGAAAGATCTGTATTTTCTCTTGGAACGTGCACACAACATCATCCAACAAAATTTGCACATGTGAAGGAAGTCATCAAACGTGCACAGTAGCACTGCTGGTGGCTACAAGCTAAGAATATGAATGTTTTCGACAGATCAAGTTAGTAATTGTTACCGAGGACACAATGGGGCAGTTATCTTACTTTGTTGTCACTAAGCGGGAGGTTTAAATGGCCTCTCACTTGTTTTTTCAAGAACAAGTTTCTGGATTTTATAGTGGAACGGTCTAACGTATTCTTTGATGCTTCCAAATGAGGTTTCCTGATGAAACTACTATTTGGAAAAAAAATCTTCAAAAGTATTAGGAAGATGAACAGCGTTATCAGTGGCAATTGCAATTTCTTACGGAGAGCGAGGAGGAGACGGTGACTCTAGATGGTCAGTCATGATGACTTTAGTATTCCGATATCTGATTAGCGCAAGAAAAGAATTTGCATTCTTATGGACAGTCCCACGATCATTAGGATAATATTAGAGCATGTTCAGATATACTACTGAGTGGCATGAGGGTGACCTCGGTGGATTCCTTGCTTTGCACTTGGGCAAAGCGAAGCTGTATTGAGTGCAGCATGAATGAATAGAAGAAGCATTGAGTGCAAAACTACCACGCTTTCTATGACGCAGGACCTGACTGTTGAAGTTTAGCAGCAATGGAAGGTGGTTGGATGAGCTCCCTCTCCAAAGCTGATCTTTGAGTCATCAAGGGTACAAGGGGCTAACCTCTGTCAAAAGGAGGCAAAAGCTCAAGGCCTTGACGTACGCACTCTGCCTACGTCCCTGCCTTGATCTGTTAGAAAAGCAACTTACAAGCGTTGTAGCCTAAGGAGTTTCCAAGCTTGCAGCATATGGGCCGTGCTTGGAAATATGACGTCAATCCAAATGGAGAAGTTGTGTTAATTTCTTCAATTGTTGTTTGTATTTGAATTACAACAACAAATCAAATTTTCTTCAAAAGCTAGTGATTTTTCTAAGATTTGATTTTAGATTCAAATAAATTTTAAAAACCTCATGGAGTATATGAGAACAAAAGAACTAGGGTCACAAATTTTAACATTTTCAAGTTTTATTGACATTTTAACTATTTTCAATTATTCAATTTGCATTGATAAGTACAAGTCAGGTTTTAGCAAATTGAAGATCAATTTCATATCAATAAAAAATTGCAAATTTAGATTGAAGATTGATGTGATATTAAAAGAAAATTGTAAGGAACTGCAATGATTTTTTATGAACATAGTTGTGTTATATTTACAACCACAATTTATGATTAGTTTTATAACTAAATATTTTGTGTTAGATATGAAAAATTGTAACAAAAATGTCATCGGAAAAAGTTAAACTATCTCAATATTCTTTAAACCGGTTAAAGCTAAATTCAAATTTAATTTTATTGAGGCAAGATGCCAGAACAAATTTATGACATCACATAAATGTAGATGAAACGTGTTTGGAAAGTGTTTTATAAAAAATGAAAATTTTGCAATGTTGGCTTTATTATTTTATATTTTAAAATAAATTTCACGCTTATTATGGCTAAAAAAATCTCATATTTTGTTTCTTATAACTAGTATTACTTTGTTTCAACACACTTATTTTCGGTAAATATTTGGCCGTAGTTCATGTTGGAACACATTTAAGTACTAAATATCTAGTTAATTTTTGAAACTTATCTTCTATCTACCATAGTCTTCGCATGTCTTCATTCCCTTTTACTCTGCTCCATCGAAATATTGCAAAGTTGCAAGCGGAGCAGAAATCTAAAGAGGGCGACTTTTCTTGTATTGAGTTACTACCTCAGGTTATCCTTGTTCTCTGCACACAGCAACCTTTTGTTGAGGATGCTCCAAAATATCTAAAGCTACACAATTTTGTGTCGCCAACATATTAGCAGGAAAACCGTCTCCTCAGTCAAACAAGTGACAAAGTTATGTTCGACACTTTATGGAGGACAAGTCTGCATTGAGAACATGAACGTCTGATAAGCCCTTGCTTGAATCATCTCGAAATAAAGGTTACGAGTTCAGTATCAACTCTGGAATTATGTCGAAGTAGAGATTACGCGTTGAATGTCTGTGTTCAGACGGTCGTAGCCGGATGTACTGACCTCTGTGACTGCTAACACAGTATCATGCGATTGTGAAATCACGAACTCGAATCCTGGGTACTGGAAAGTTGTGTACAGCTACCGTTGGACGTGCATGTAGGCTGTTGACTTTTGCAAAGACGTCGTTAGAAAGTTCACGCGAAAACTTTACAACATGGCAAAATGACGATCACTCCAAGCTCTGCCCTCCTCAACTTTTGTACGTGATTAATTCTGTTCTTGCATCTGAAAGTCACGAACAGAAGTGAAGAGAAACTCTGCAGAATTTCAATGACTGCAAAGGGATTCAGAAAACAATTCAGAGCTTGAGAGTTGAAATAGAGAGCAGAAGATACAGCACCCTTGCAGACACTTTGGTATGGAACTACGGCCAATAGGCCTATACTGGAAGATACCGTACATCTTGACATCAGGTGGGTACTGAAACTGTGTAAATCTTAACTTACTGTAAATTCGGCCGTGGAAAAATCAACATTATTCCAGCAAAGTCGCCATAGACAAACTCATTGAATTTACAAGAAAAATGAAATGCAGCTCTCCTACACACTAAGTTCAATGTCATTGTACGGTCCAGAGGTAATCTACTTTTTCCGACGTGTTCTCTTGACCAATACAAAGTCTTCATCCTCATCGTCACTGGCAGGCCGTTTGTTCTGTGTTACGGTCTTCGCCCTTTGCTCCTTAGGTGGATTTGTTTTGACGGAGGGCAAGTCTTCACCTTCCTGTGTGCATTCCTCGATTCCTAACCTTTTCTTCTTTGGTCCATCAATATCTTCATCATCTTCTACTTCGTTTATTTCCGGGACTGGTTTCCCATTGATATCTCCTCTCACGGAATGTTCCCTCAGCTCCACGTCATCATCGCTGTCACTATCCAGATCGATATATGCATCTTGTGCAACACCTGGGCTCTTGGATAGAGCACTTGTCTCCCTTTTAAGTGTTTCAGCTTTCCCTGCTGCACAGGATTTTTTAGCACTGCGTTGCGGTTCGCATTCTTGAGAAACACCACGTTGGATACTTTTCCTCTTTGCACTTGCTGACTTTTGAGCTGATTGAGAAGCGATGGATGTTTTACTGCCCTTGGGAGCAACCCAGGGTCCTTCTTTTTCTTCGAATTCTTCATCAGGATGCTCCTTGATGTAGGCTCTGATAGCGTCCAAAATCTGTTGACCGTACTGCTCCACTTTTCGCTTACCTACAACCTCCTCAACCTGGTATTTATGGAGTCCATATCACGTAAGATTAAGAAACGGCAGATAACAAAAAAAATTTCTTGACGCGAAACTTCAACATAATGGCAAGATCTTGGTGACAAGAAAAAGTTTTCCGGCAGATATCTTTTGATTTACTAATGGTAAGGGGGCCAACAAAGGATATGCTACTCTGTACCATACCAGGTTCAGAGTGTCGGGTCGACGGGAACACAGCATCTTGATGTGTTGTGATGATAGAACTGAATGGGGAAAGATACTCCCGTGACAGCCAGCTATTTGTTGCCTCAACGCATCTAGCATATGAGCCATACCACTTTGCAGCTTTGAGTCTTCATTCGCAATTCCTACGGTACCTTTCTTGCTTTTGAGTCCTTGTGCAACCTCTAGAATAATCTTCCGTTTGCCTGCGATGATAAGCGTTAGAGACCGTACAACGCAAGTATCACAGGAAGAAAGACATATGGAGATGGGTCAAACAATCCAGCTTTGTTTTATTGCTCAAATTCAATCCTTATTCCAATCTCTATATAACTAGTTCCTACTAAGTATAATTCAAAACGCACCAAAACTACCTTCGCAAACCTACTCCGAGCGGGTGTACCGAGACAGTTTTTCCTTTTATATGTAGACAAAGGGTAGTCTCACCTTGCAATAGAAATCGTGATCCCGCACTGACTGTCACATATGCATTGGTGGCATAAGCAGTGTGTGCAAACTCTTCTTTCTGCAAAGCAAAAGTTGGTACAGAATATGTTATAAACAACTCGATCATCAACCAGAAGCTCGCCCACACCATAAAACAGAGATTCTGACATACAAATAAACCTCGCTTACCAAAATGCCATCCAATACCAGTTGTATTATTACTCGCTCCACGTCCTCTTTGCTTAGTTCCTTCACCAGTGCTGCTTCACCTCGTGCTTCTGTGTCCGTGAGAAGAAACGAGTTTTGTTTATCCCCATTCTAAAAATGAAAAATTTGCGGACCACGAGCCCTTCGAAGAATACCAGAAAAAAGCGGTGCACCGGAAGATTCCAATAACTTGCCTGTCTGACGTGACCTACTTCTCCAACTGTCCACTAGCTGCAGCATAGTAGTCTTCTGATTGTCCGAATCTTTCAACAACGTGACAATCGACTTGGCATGAGCTGTAGACATGAAAATCGAATCAATTTATATCTCCAATTATTGCATCTAACAGTCCCAGGTACATGAAATCAATGACATTACTTGACAGAATTTATAGTATCTGACATACCGGTCACATCTAGCTCGGTGATCTCCTTTGCGTAAGCACAGTTGTCGCACATACCTGTCAGATGTCACTACGAAACTTAGAGTGGCAGATGCAACACTCAATGCCAAAGCCGCTAGCTGTTCTCAACTTTCATAAACTGTGCAATGTTGTTGCGGTAAGAGCTGTCAGTTTAGTAAAGTAAGTTCCCTCACCATTGCAATCCTGCACTGGTTCACCAAAATGTCGAAAAAAAGCCTCCCGTCGACATGAACGTTTCGACTGCAACATCCAGTATACACAGTTAAATCAAGGAACACGTTCTCTCCAAGAGCTGAACCAATTTGGCACCGTTGCCAAAACATAGTTGTAAGGCCGTTCTTGTTTGTCTTCCTATCAAACCTACGGGTTAGAAAAAAAGAAGGAAAGATTTTAGTACAGATACATGCAATTACTGTGATAGGCGTTTCTAACAGCTTCAACCTTGAAGATAGGACCAATACTTTCATACTGTTTATTCTAACAACCATGAGGTCGAACCTGACAAAAGCGTGCAATAGCATAGAGATTGTGAAGACCGGCAACTTCGGAAAAAACCATCGAGCTCTGCTACATGCAAACAAGAGCAGACCTGTCACACCTGTCAAGATTCTCAATGAGTGCAGTCGCACAAGAGCTCACAGCTCAACTGAGTCCACATGATGAGCCACGAGGTCAATGAGCACAACTAACATACTTACTTACAAATGTTCTCCCTATTAACGGAAAAGATCTTAGAACACAAGATAGATAAGATGAGAGGTTTGCGACTCCATGAAAACTTGCAGCGAAAATATCTTTAGAAAAGAATAAAGCACCAGTAGATTTATAAGGCGCATCAACTGAAGCCGTTCACGTACAATTTAATTGATAACTCATAATCCCACGCTTCTCTAAGCGATACGTTGGAATATTCTCCAAGATGAGAGCTTAATATACAAAACAAAATCACCTGACGGGGGATATCGGCAGGTCGGAAAAACAAGACACAATGCGAAGGAAGCCCATCTCGACCAGCACGACCGCTCTCCTGCAAATACCACCAATCATGCCAGACTCTTTGTAATTATCAGGTTAGGGAGTATGTTGTCATCAACAATGATACAAGCTGATGGTGTTCAGCTTCCAAAAAATCTCAGATGGGGAAGACTAACCTGGTAATAAGTCTCCAAGGATTTGCTTAAACTGTGGTGGATGACAAAACGCACTGTCGACACAAAACAAAGGACTGGTTATGAGTCAGGTAAATTATTCAACACAGAAAACATATATGACTGATAACTTCAAAACTCAAACGCTCACCGTCGGGTTTATTGATTCCCATCCCAAAAGCCACCTGTTGTAAATGACTCAACGTTGAGTTAGTGCACAATCAACAATCGATCGACAATCGACAAAAAATCCACGAGAAGTTGATTGCAGATTATTCTTTCGTGGTAAGAATGAAGATCATTTGAAAGATAAGACTGATCCACCCTACATAGTGAGGAAAAACTGCTGTAAATTATCCGATTGAAATTGTTCACACTTACCGTACCAACGATGACCTGTATCTTATTACCACTCCATCTGAACCACCACCAAAGAAAAATAAATGACCATTAACTTTCATCTACCTTACGAACGGAGAGTCTGCAAATTAACATATGAATCTCTAGTTAGGAAACATGTTCTGCCATGGTAAACTCGATGATAACCTTGTGTGTATGTTGGCTCGCACATCTGGGGCCATGTCTGCGTGGTAGTGCGAGGCTGAGATACCCCTTTGACGTAGCTCCTCCGCAACCTATGAGAAATCCAGATTCATTTGACCGCCAGCTTTTCAGAAGTTTCAAATGTTGGTACTCTTCAGACATAAACCCGTCCCATAGCACTTTAGAGTCTGATCGACTACGTAGTCATATACAATCGTTCGGGCAAAAAAAGTACTGTTACTCATTCTTCACCACTCCCGCAGATCCTGGAAGTGTGTAGGCAAGTTCATAGAAGGGGAGAGAGTTCTTAAAAGATTCTGAGAATCTTACCTGCTCGCATTCTTTACGAGTGAAGCAGTATACAATCCCAGATTGCTTTTCGGTGTATCCTCCTCGAATGAAGTCTGCAATATCGTCTATGGCCGCACTTGCATTTGACTTCTTTTCACGAACCTGCGCCATCCAGCAAATAGTAAATGGCATAAACTACCAAAAAGCGTTTGACAATTGGCTAAAACATGCTCAGTGTACAATATTTACCTCGTAGAACAGATTTGGTCGATTCACGGAGCTCGTAAACCTCTCTGAATAAGGAATTTGGAGCATTTCTCTTACATCAGTTTGCACTCGTTCGGTAGCAGTAGCCTGAACAACAATAGCATTCACTTAAGAACAAAGTTGGCCGAATGACTACGATATATGAATTCATGAAGTTGTTCATATAACCTGCTCTTTAAAGTAGAAACAAATCTTCCCATATGATGGGAGCATATCAAATATTACAGTATGACACTTACAGTCAAAGCAATGATTGGAACTTTTGGGAACTGTTTTTTCAGAATACCCAGATTCTTGTAATCAGGCCTGAAGTCATGACCCCACTGACTACAGCAATGAGCCTCCTGTATGCATAATGACACGATTAAAGAGATAAGTATAATGCGCTCAGTAGTATTTACCTGTCATCACTTCAAGACAAAGGTCAACATAGCTAGAAGGAGATAAGTAGAGACCTTAGTTGATAGAATTACAGTTGAGGCCGTAAAGACACCGACATGTATGAGAACCTCAAATCATCTGTAAGATGGTTTAACTTCAGAATATTGATAGCATCAGGCCACGGACTTACATCAATAGCCATCAGAGATAAACGACCCGCCTTGTTGCACTTCTCAAGTTTTGACATGAAGCGTTTGCTCTTGGCAATTTTCTCTGGAGTAACGTAGAGGATTCGAAGTCCTCCGGTTCCTTTCTCCAAAGAGAGATATATTGCTTTCTCCTCTTCTTTCGTGGTGGTCGAGGTAAGCATTCCAGCGGGAATACCCAAGGCCTTCAGGCCCATGACCTACACTTAACGTTCGTCTGCCAGTCTCAATATCGAGATGAAGCAGGACAAAATGGACACCAGAAATATACCGCACAAAAACCAAACATCAATAAACATGCAACAAGCTGCCAGAAGACTGCAATAGCTAAGATAGGGCTTTATAATTTACAACATAATATACTTGCATGCTGATGCCGCCATTTAAAGATAAAAAAGTAGCTGGCAATTTGATACTCTACCTGGTCTTGAATCAAAGATAAGAGGGGGCTGACAATGAGGGCGATGCCAGAACGCAGAAGTGCAGGCAGTTGGTAACAGAGACTTTTTCCGCCCCCAGCAGCCATAATAACCATCACATTTCTCCCACTCATGACAGCATTTATTATCTACAAGACCACAGCTAGAAGATGACTCTTAAATACTCGAAACAGAATTAAAATTAAATCCGTAATATCTGTTGATCTGGAAATCAAATTACAGTTTAGAAACCACTAGACTGGCAGGTACCGAAGAGATGAGTTCGATGTAAGCTCTATGTAGACTTTTATCACATAAGCTCGCCATAAACTCTTAAAAATGCTCGAGGTTTGCTTGATGATCACACCTCACGCTGGTTGGTACGATAAGTGGATATTCCAAATACATTCAGTCGCAAATCAGCTGCACGTTTATCCCACTCGAAAGATCCTGTCCAGTCCTCTTTGGTGGAACTCGATACGAAAGCTTCGGATCCGGTTCCTTCTTGTTTTCTGAAATAAATACTCACAACAAATAAAGTGTATCAGCGTGTTATTAAAATAAATAGATATATACATCAATTGCTCTCAATTGCTCCAGTCAGTGAACAACATGCCTGCAAGATTCTAAGAGGGCACGCAGTTCTTGTCGCTGTTCCAAAAGCTTCTCCTGATGTTCCAACAATGAGGTTATCTGATCTGCATCAACCGACAAGGAAGAAAATTCAACATGCTTGTAACATTAATTTACCATGAGAAAGTCCAGAAACTGTGAAACTGGTGCACAGGTTCACATCACCTACATAATTCAAAACATTCAAAACACTGAGCGATATAGCATCAGAAATTGAAATGCAGAATTGGCCATAGTATATGTTTGGAAACTTAAACCAGACGAAAAACACGATACTGAGTATTGGAACAGTTGACTCTCAGAAAACAGTCCTCTGTGGCATTACCGCTAAATATATTACAAAAGACAACATCTTTTCATCATACACAACTTAGCAGATAAGGAATTCATAGCAGAAAGAGGAAAATACCTGCACATATAAGCTTGTGAGAGATAAATATATTCAAAACAGCAAAATTCTTGAAACTAGTTACGAAATTTGATCGCCCATAACAAAAAGAAAACATAGACGTCCGCACAAACTACCACTCCAGTTATCTTCCGAGAGAGCAGCAAGTGCTACATTCTAGAGGAAAAAAAAGACTTTGGCCATTTAAAACCACAATACTGGATAGCTAATTGAGCACGATAGAGCTCTATGCAGCGCAGAATGCAAGAAAATATGAGTAAAAAGATACCGAGAAAAACGAAAAGAATCACTGGAAAGAAAAGAAAATCAGTAAACTAGCCCAAATCGGTAAGCAAGACGCAACCAATTTATGGATATTGTTGGTAATCAACAGCTTAGAAAGAGACGAATCTATAATATTAGCAGCTGTACGAACCTTGGACCTGATTGAGCTCTTGCTGCACGAGCTGCAATTGCTGAGCGATATCCTCCGAGGCCATACCTCCTGCTCTTAACCAAAAGATCCAAGTCTACAGCAGCACTTCTTTCAATTTCTCGAATCATTCACCCCGTACGAGTGACAGCAGAACGCGATACTCCATCGCTGGAGCTCGTCGAGCTAGATGATCGAATCACCAGAAGCTCAAAAAATTTCGAGTCTTATAATTTATAATTTGCACACATCTATCACTGTCTTCTCCGGGATTTGAACAGGGTTCAGCATGTCAGTATCTGTACATTCAACTACGGTTGCGATCCTGTATCAAATTGCCTGATTGTCATGCTTTGGGGATTTCCTTCTTTCCAGGGATCGTACAAATTGCATGCACTGAAGTAGAATCAGGGATATAATAACGGTGTAATCTTTTGATAGCTACAACCCCACCGGTTCAACGAGTTTTATTATCCGAATGAAACAGATTGCAGATGTTGCAGGAAACAAAGTCCATCAATGTTTTAATTAGTTGTGTACATTATATTTGAAATTAAAAGTATCAAATAGATCGTAAAGAAGATGAGGAGATCCTATTCCGCCTTACAAAGAAGAAATCTAACGTGAAATCATAAATATATACTACAATGTCTAAACTAAATACACAAAAGATACTATGTACAAACAACGGCATCATACTAAAATAGGCTGCACATACAGGAGAAAATGATAGCATGGATGTTCTCGTTATCTTACTAACATATCAAAATGATTGTACATAGCTACACTTTATATAATGACAGGTTAACAAGTGCTTAATTTATTATAGCAATATGTAGATCTTGATTGTTGCCATCATCTTTTCCATCTACTAAAGATAATGTTTGAATATCCCTTCTATACAATGTCACATATAATATCCATCAGAACCAAAGAAATATTTTTGACTAGAAACTCCAAAACTAAACATAGATGTTTCATAATATTATGAATATGAATTATCTTCACATGTATTCATCATTTTATGAATAAGTTATGAAGAAACTTGATTAATATTATATCTAAGCTGCAAAATCTTTGAAGTTGCATGGTGTCTTGAAAACTAAACAGAAGTAATCATCTGGGTAAAGCATCAACTGGTGAAGCTTTACATCAATCTTGATGAGCTTAAGCGCGTTCTCAAAAACAGCCTGTCTAATAAAGTGGTACCTGATGTCAATGTACTTTATCCTACAATACATCACCTGATTCTCTGCCATGTGAAGCGCATTCTGACTATCACAATGAAGATTCACATCATGCTGAGGCAATCTAATCTTAGTGATAAGCTTGTTCAACCAGATTGCTTACTTCATTGATTCTATTGTTGCATTATATTCAGCGTCCGTTGATGACTGGAAAAAAATATTTTTAAAGAGTAGATCTCCAACTAATGCAGACATTTGTAAGAGTGAAAACATATCCAATCTTTGATTTTCTCTTGTCCAAGTCTCTCCATGATCAACATCCACATACACCAAAAGTGACTTGACCCTCATTGCTTTGATATCAAACAATAAGTCATGTTGTGTATAACTCTTAACATATCTAAGTATACACTTCATCGATTCGTGATTCAGCTTGCCTGGATTTGACATGTACCTGCTTACCTTACCTACAGCAAAAGCTATATTTGGTCGTGCACACCATCAAATACATGAAACTATCCAGTGCAGTCTCACAGAGATTAGAAGACATTTAGTCTTTTTCAACCGCATTTGTAGTACAATGCACTGCTGAAAGTAAAAAATAAGCAGCCAATGGAGTATTCACATGTTTAGCTTCAGCCATGTTGAACTTGGCAAGCATCTTCTATGCATATTTCTATTGAGATAACCAAAGCTTCCCTACTTTGTAATGCCAAAATAAATTCATACCAAGAATTCTCTTGATTGGACCTAGATCCTTCATGCTAAAAATTGAGCTCAACTAAGACTTAAACTTATCATCTATTAGAAGCTGCAAATCATCAATACAAGACAAGAATGATAAGCCCAAATGTTGCATCAAAAACCTATTTTAAATAAAAATAAGAATCATATTCAATTTGTAAAAATACTTGTGAGTGCATGAAGTAGTTAAAACGTTTATTACACTGTTTGAAACTTTGCTTTAAATAGTATAAAAATTTATGCATCATGCATACTATGACTTACTTTACTTTCATAAGAAAATCTTAGGGTTGCCGCATGAATATCATTTCATCGAGTAATTCATAAAAAAAAGCTATTACAACATCCATCCCATCAAAAACTAGATCATGTATAATCACAAGAGCACAAAGCAAAAATTTTTTAAAACACTTTGCTACTGGTGCAAAAACTTCATTATAATCCACACCTTTCCATTGTGTGAATACCTTGACTACCAAAACTTGAAAACTTTCAGATCAATATTCATGGGTCCATACTTCTTCTTGTAAACCACTTACAATTTACCACTTTTTAATCTTAGAGCAACTCTACAAGTTTCCAACTGTTGTTGGCAAAAAATGATTTCCTCTCCTTTTGCATCGCTGCATTTCATTCTTCCTTCTCACTAGAATATAGAGCTTAAGAGTAAGAAGATGGATCTTCATCTTTTGTGATCAAAGCGTCATCTTAATCCTCAGCATCAGTTTCAATATCATCAATAATTAAATAGTCAAACCAAGTGTCATAGCTAACTGAAGCTTGACGTTTAGCTACATTCCGCAACTGCCGCTTTAATGAAGATTTCGCTTGATCAATTTGTGTTGGTTCTAAATGTGGCTCACTAGCAATCAGCTCTTCTTGTTCCACAATATGTGGAAACTCTCTTTGTGATTCATCATAAGTGGTGTCAATATAAATCTCCCCTCCAATGGTGTTATGGGCAAGAGTCTTTCTTTTGGCAGTAACTGAAGTCTATATTTTTTGCTTCTCATTCAATGATCTAAATTCATTGAATGAAACATAATTACCGACAATGGGTTTGCAAGCATTGACATCCCACACTCTATATCCCTTTAGTCTTGTTTGATAACAAAAAAGACATATTTCTTGGCTTTTTGATCAAGCTTAATACTATTATGCTTTAGAATAAGAGCATAAGCATCACAAACAAAATTCTCAACATAGAGTAATCACTTAATCGTTTGTACCACAATTCAAACAGTAGCTTGAAACTTGATACATCTATTACGAGATAGGTTTACCAAATAAGATGCAATATTCACAACTTCAGCTCAAAACGTATGAGGTAAACTAGTGAGATTCAACATACTTAGGAGAAGCTCCAATTGTGTGTATTTGAGTCTTTCGGATTGCAATCTCTGGGCTAACTCTCACCGAGATTTACCTCATATGTCTTAGCGGTAGCTCATTATGGTTCTAGAAGACTAGGATTCCTCCACATACTCAAAGCCCAAACACTCTTTCATACAATACCTCAATTTACCACTCTTTCATATATGAAACAAGTTTTTACATATGAATCCTCCAAACTTGCTTGAAAGTTTCTTCCTTACCTCTCTATATATACTATTTGAATAGTTATCATAGTAAAAAATGGTAATTTCTAACTAACTTACTTTTACCAAGATAAACTATAGTAAGTTTGACTAGTTATCAATACGTGGCAACATGTCATTGGCCTCCTAAACCTTCTAGAAGTTTACTAATACCTATATTGAGTTGACGACATGACATTTGTGTATTTCCAACTTCTAAAACTTCCACTTGCCACTAAATCAACACTAGACTTGGTCTAACCAATGAAGTATCCAAAACCTAGTCAAAGCAATCAAAACTAAACATGAAGATCAAAGTAATTTCTCATAGAATCTAAACTTTTGTACAAGACAAAATAGAGGTGCTCACTCAAATACTCTAGAATTTCTCAAGTTATTCCGTCAAATATAAATATTATAGCTAAACTTAGTTATAACTTGATAAACTTAGTTATAACTAGTTAGACTTAGTCATAACTAAGCTAACCATGATTAAACTCCTTGACTACTTCTAGTTCTATTTTGTACATACAAAATCCGATCTTTCAAGACACATCATTTTGCTCCAAAATATACGATGTGATGAGATGTTGACTAATACCATCTCTTTTCCAATACAACTAAAACTCTATTCAGTTCTAGTCCACGTCATTATCAATGTGCAAATATTTCACCTTCTTTCGAGTTTTGATCTCAACTAGAACTTCTAATTTTTAAAAATTTAAAAGACCTCGCACTTTTGTTGCATGAAGTAAATCCACATGATTTTTGAATAGTCATTCACAAATGTTATACCTTTGCACAGTGTGAGGGAGTAGGAGAAGATTCCAACACATTAGTATGAATGTAATCAAGAACATATTGTGAGCTATGCACTCCAATGCCAAATGTTGCTCTTGTTTATTTGTCAAATACACAATGCTCACAAAAGTTGAGATTGCATTGCTTCATCGTGGGCAATAAACTCTGTTTGTGTATAATGGTCAAATCCTTTTCACTCATGTATCCAATCGGTTGTGTCACAAATGAAAATTCAAATTTGAATAGGTATTAACATGTGACTCTCCAAAAATTATTGTACACTCCAAGATGTACGGATTTTTTAGCCTTGAGCTCCTCATGAGAATGTGAAAACCATTCATCACACTCAAAATTTCACTGTCGGTGCTTCACTTGAATACTTTCAAGTTCAACTCTTCAAATGATATCAAGTTCTTACACATACTAGAGATGTGTCATACATCAATCAAGATACGGATCATCCTATCAAACATTTCAATCTTCACAGATCCAATGCCAAAAATTTTGCAAGTTTGATCATTTCTCAAAAAAGTGTACCGGTTAACAGAATGTAAGAATTAAAGGACTCGTTAACGTGACAAATGTGGTAAGAGTAAGCTGAATCCAAAATACATTCCTCGTTTTTAACATGGACGGAAGTACAAAGGGCATTATCGAAATCTTTAATTAGCTTGCTGAGGGTTCACTGGTTGCTTTACTACAACAATCTTTGTGAATGTGACCAAATTGGCCACATTTTCAACACTTGATGTATGTCCGTCTCATGCAATAAGTCTCATGATTTTTTGCCTTGTTGTATGACTTGCCGTTGCTTCACTTTGTTTTTGTTATAGCACTTTTGGGCTACAAGTTTTCACCAAGATTAAACCATGCATGTGTAAATATGAACATAATTTTTTTTGTGAAATTCCCAAAGTGTTTGAATAACTTTTTTGATTTTCTTATCATTATTTTCTACCAAAAAAATATTATAATAAAAAAATTTGTTAATTGTATATACATCAATGTTGTATATATTTCAATTTTTTTATAAAAATTCAAAATTATTATCAGTAATAAATGATGAAATAAAAAATCAAAATTAAAAAGTTTAATCTTAATTGAATTTGTGATGCTACTATTGGAATCTAAAATAAAATTTATTTCAATTGAGCATAAATTTAAAGACATAAGTCTCAATGATTATTATTAAAATATAACGG